TAGTATTTGTTCAGGCTGTTACAGTGGTGAGTAAATATTAAAATCAGTTAAAATTGACAACCGGTCCGCACATTTTTTTTAATGTATCTGCCGGTCCTTGGCACAATAAAGGTTGGGAACCCCTGGCTTAGAAGATAGTAGATAGGTTACAATGGCTTATTCCCCGCTGGAATCAATTGTCTAACATCAAGAAAAAGCTGTGGAAATATTCTATTTACAGCAGACACTTACATCGATATTGCATTTTTTTTAGATGGCTTGAATATGTTTTGCTGCTGCCCGTTTCCACAGGACTACATTAATCTTGTATGCTGTTAGTTGTGTTTTTCCAAACTGGGGACCGCCATCTGCAGAAAATACCACAATGACTATGGATAAGTACTTCATACAATCAGACAATAAGGGTTCCAAACTATCCTTTTTCTCAGCTTTAATAGAGCCATTAGCTGACAGCTCTATGTTTAACTTGAAATGCTTTTGAATGCAACTTCAAATAGACTCAAAGCTTTTAAAGTTACTCACCAGTCCATCACAGGTACTTATGGCAGCGCTTCCTTTACCAACAGCCTCATCCCACACGTCACCTAAGAAATGACACTGGGAGGATCCAGGAGGATGAATCTTGGCCCCCTCCAGGCCACCGTACCTCCTTTCGGTCAGGAAGCCTGGGGCCAGCAGGTGTGGGTTGAGTGTGAGGTTAAAGTGCAACCTGTGGCCTCCGTGCCACAACTGGTAGAAGACTTGATCTACGCCTGCTGGTCCCTCTGAGGCATCCCGGCGCTGTACACGGCTAGCATGGTGAGACAGGAAGTTGGACAGGAAGTGACCTCTGGCATCCACTCGAGTGGGGTGAACCACTTCATACTGCGGCAGATCCTGCTGCAATATCTCTGTCAAAGCCATGGTGGGAAGATAAGATGTAAAAGAAGATTGGAGAATTAATCATGTGAAAGGGTAAGGGTAATTAAATAATTAAAGTGGCTGTAAAGCTGTAAACAAAACTGGGGAAGCTCTAAACAAACGCATATGGGTGTCTCATCTGTCATTTGCATGTTTGAATACAGCTGCAATGTATACAGTGCCTGAACCCTGAACACTGTCTACTAGCATATGTTACTTTCTACTCTAATATCTACATGGTTTCATAAAGTTGGTGAAATGTATTTCTCTGATAAAAAAAGAATCTCATTGATTGTCTGAGATTTGAAGTAGTTGAATCAGCATCATCAAAGGCTTCATTTATAAGACCTCTTTTGTGAGCAAGGGTAAATAAAATGTGTGGACCATGTGTAGTAACCAATGTCTGAGCCGAAGCAACGCGATTAGACCCTTTTTGTAAAGAAGAAATACAAAATGCATTACAATTTACAGCATAAAAAGCATGGCCGAATGCAAAAAAGTAACATTGCTAGGATTCCTTTGCTGAGGAGTTTGTTAGACTTAGAAAGTAGAGAAGTTGTTTGGACATAAAATAGCAGCAACTGCTGCCAACACAACAAACTGTTTGCATCACATTGAGAACAAAGAGAGCTGCACATGGTGAGGAGAGGCCAACAGCTCATTTGAAACAGACTTTGCCTACTGCTGCTATTCATAATAAAGTAATTCCCTGTATTTCATCATATCTCGATACATATTCTTTTCACAAAACTACCCTGGAAAAACAATACAAGCAATCCCTAATATGCACATGCAAAAACGAAAACATATCAACAACAAAAGTGCCCAATCCACATACGCAAAAAACTCACAATAATAACTCTGTCATAAATATAGCTGTTTCAGAATAGGTCTCATGTATTCTGTACAGCTCACACAGTACAAATGACACCCTTGGACCTTCATAATTCCCAGACACACTGTGTTTGGCATACATGCAGATAATATATCCCCTGCAGTCCTTGGGCAGGATACTCAACCCAAAATGGCTCCTTTTGGCATGGCATGCAGTGTAGAGGTGCTTTGTAAGTTGCTTTGGATAGAAGCATCAGATAAATTACATTTTATTTAGTGTACTATAATTAATATATAAATAAAATATAGCCTTGTGAGTGCAGTCATCATAATCATCATCATCATCATCATCATCATCAGTATTTCGACCTATGCCCATCTTGATATGGCATTCTTTAGCTGGTTCACCAGTATAGTAGAGTGACTGACTCAGCTCATCTCAGATGCATTTTTTGATGGAGGTCTAGACCCAGATGGAGATTAAAATGTTCTAAATATTAACTAAACAAAAATGGTTATGCCGCCTCGATGTTGGTATGCAATCAAGTTCCAGGTGTGAGGATTCTTGCATTCAAGGTATTTCATAAGACCTTAAGGACTTTCTGCATCTGTAAAAATGCAATGAAGCATCTTAATTAACAAAACACCCATAAGATATGACTTGTCATTAAGCATATGTGCCCTTCAGTACAGGTCAAAAAGGAAAGTGAAATTCAATTATATGGTGATCAGAAAAATCACATTTCCAAATAAGACTCGGAAGAAAACGCCTTAAAAGTATGAATAGCTAAGCTTGGAGGAGGTGGTTTTTAATGTGGGGTCTGGGACCAAAATTGGATTTTAAGTGTGCCCATAATGAGACACACTGATCAGGTTCCTATTAACTCTGAATCAAGATGAGCTGTCACCTTTGGGTTCTTAGTAGTCCAAAAATAAACTTAGTGATCCATGTGCCAACATTTATTACCTGAAATCGTTAATTTTCAGGAAGTGCCTCTCCTTAGTGACACATCCTTGTCTATAAAGCCTAGTGGTTCTTATTTTTACTCTCAAGGGCTGCATTTGATGTTGATACAGGATGAGACCGCCTCTTTGTGCTTGTTGTACCTGTTATCTCAGGAGAGCGGTGACTTATAAAATCCAAACCACAAACTAGGTATCCGGAGAGAGTCAGAGGATGAAAGTGCAAGGAGTGGAGGCGGGGGTGTTTCTTCAAGGAGTGAGAGTGAACGCTCTGATGTGATAATATCTACTGGCTCCCACAACTAGACATATTTTGCAGAATTACGATACATCCTGTAGATACCCAAAGAGAAATGCTGTTTCCTGACCTTCACTGGGGAGGTCAGAGGTCAGTGTCAGCTGAGCTGGGAGTCTGTGTTTTGGCTCAAGGGCAGGGCCAATGCTCTCCCACACCTGGGGCTTAAACCTCTGATGATTCATGGAAAGAAGGTCTCTCCAGCTAGCAGACATAGCTGCAAAACCTTGGGTTTTATTGCTTTGGTCAGACCAACATTTTGTAAACACAAGCCACAGCTGGCCTCCCCTCCACACTGAGGACTGCTGGCCTGACTCTAATGATGAATTAGATCCGCTCTGAAACATGTGAGCAAACAAAGCAGCCACTAAGCAGCCAGAGGACGTGGCGATATTTTTTGTTTTCAGGTTCACTAACCTTCTTCATGTGGTAATTCCAATGTGTTGCAGATTTCCAGGGCCGTTAGAAGTGCGATGAAGAGGTGAATGGGGGAGCCTCTTTGTCCAAAAGCGTGAAGCCCGCAGTCCAAACGGGTCATTTTGTCAAGACGGTAGTTTGTATTTTGGTAACATTTAACGCCTTTCTGACACCGCGTCGATTGTCAATTCAAATTATTTCCATGTGGGCTGGAGGAACGTTTCGCTTTGTTGCGAGCGTGCACTTAAACTGTCACAGTCCCAACCAACTTGTGTACTTAATGCCTGAACACGGGCTGTTTCTGTTGCATTCTCACTCTTTCTTGTCTTGTCTGTGTGTCGGTGTTAATGTTTGCATGCAAGTAGCTGTCCCCTCTGTCCTCCATCAGTCTCCCACCAACAGCCAGCCCAGTGACAGCTTCAAACTGTTGTCTGCAAACTTTCGCAGAGCCACCCCCACAGATGGGTGGACTTAAGACAATGGGATATCTTTCTGTTGGGCTGGGGGCTTAAAGGGGAATGCTACTCCAATAAATCGGAAGTAGTGCTTCAATGTAATTGGCAGATGCTCCCGAATCTGAGGTCTTTTGAGTTTTCAGTGGGTCACATGAGGACCAGGCTCGATATTGTTGCGTTACTTGGAGTCAGATACATTATGACAGATCAGGAGCTTCAGTCTGTGTAACTAAACCTCTGTGAAGTGGTGGAGGAAACAGGCGAAAGCAGTTTACGAGATTCCCAATCTTAATAAACGTTGCAGTTGTATAAACAAGATGTCTTAACTTAGGTGGAATAAAGGCTGTACTGAAAACATACTCATCATGGTCACTAAACTCCTCATCATTGTGTTCTTTGTAATTAAACTTCGGTTGTTTAGGCTTAGCGCCCCCTCTAGTGGAGGAATGGAGGCACTTGAGGGCCAGTTGACGAGGGACAATGCTTATGCAAGGCAAATGAAACTGTACTCAAGGTACTCAAGTATTTTAATACATTTATTATAAAATGTTAATACATTTATTATAAAATGAAATTATTTGATTGGAGCAACATAGCATACCAATTTTTTTCTTACCCTATTTTTTTCCAGGGAGTCCAATTAAAATAAACAACACATCTCTTTTATATGAGAGACCTGGCCAAGGTAGAAACCATATATTTTTTTAAACTATAGGAAAAAAAACATCCTATTCAACATGACAAACAGAATATATTTCAACACAGCTGATTCAATTAAAGTCTTTTTTTGCTGAATTGTTTGGATGAAAAAATGCAATTTCTTACAATTAAATACTTCACTGACATGCAGTTAGTCACACCTTAATGTAGGTTATATTCATGGTGACCATCGGCAGCATTCCTCTTGTGTTGCTGCTGCATACATGATACTTTGCTCTATGACTGACCGTCTGTTTCTCTGTCACGTCTTATGCAACCAATCGTGGCACGGCAGAGGAGCAAGACACCTGTATAAAAGCACTCACACATTCATTGGATGGGGATAAAGTGTTGAGACACTTTCGCATGGTAGTTATATTCGTGAAGCCTGTGCGAGCAGCAGAAAGTGGCTAAAGCCAACGTTTCCAACTTTAACGATGGATGACACATTTAACAACAGCGGTGCGCTGAACAGAAGTTCACCTGGTGGAGACAAATTCAGTTTTGAAGACATCGATGTGAGCGCGGACGGCACTCCCATTTTAAGGATACTCATCTCCGTGGTGTACTCTGTAGTTTGTGCGGTTGGTTTGGTGGGAAATCTACTCGTATTTTTCCTAATGAGGGTAAGACAGGGTCGAAAGAAGTCAACTATCAATTTTTTTATCATCAACTTGGCAGTGACTGACTTCCAGTTCGTGCTCACTCTGCCCTTCTGGGCTGTGGACACCGCGCTGGACTTCAGCTGGCCGTTTGGAGACGCCATGTGCAAAATCATCCTCTCGGTCACCGTGATGAACATGTACGCCAGCGTGTTTTTCCTCACTGCCATGAGTGTGACCCGCTACCTGTCTGTTGTCTCTGCCCTGAAGAAAAAATCGTACAGGAGGTCACGGTGCGTTAAGTGGGTGTGCGCAGTGCTTTGGGTGGCAGCCACTTTGGCCACCGCTCCGACAACTATCTTCTCCACCGTCACCGTGGTGGCTGGAGAAAAACTCTGCCTCCTGAAGTTTCCTGAGGGGTACGACTGGCTTGCCCTCTATCACATCCAGAAAATACTGATAGCCTTCATAATCCCCATGCTTATAGTCTCTGTTAACTATCTAATGCTCCTGCGCTTTGTAAAACGGAGGAGCATGGACAGCAGCAACCCGAAACGCAGCTCTAGGGTCACCAAAGCTGTTGCTATAGTGGTTTTATCTTTCTTTTTTTGCTGGATGCCAAACCACGCAATCACTTTCTGGGGTGTCTTGGTCAAATTTAACGCAGTCGACTGGGACAAGTCATATTACATGGTGCACACGTATGTGTTCCCTGTCACCGTGTGCTTTGCGCACGCAAACAGCTGCTTAAACCCAGTGCTTTACTGTCTGATGAGGCCAGAGATCAGGAAGATGCTCGGCGGGCTGTTTTGGAGAGTCCCCACTCCAACCACCAAAAGGTGCTGCGAGACGCGCTCTTTTGCGCAGGGAGAAGTGCCTCTCCAGGTGATTAACAATGGACAGTACACGCTGTCGATCATAGACCGTAAAGGCGTATCCAGCTCCAAAATCACATACACCCGGTGAATACATTTGGTGAAAAATAAACCATACGCTGTTCATTATTTGCTCCTGTTTCCATCTGTAGCAGTCCTGAGTCGTTGGTAAAGCTTTCGCTTGTATTATTTTTTATAGTGACCGTGGATGTTATACCTTGTTGGTCATCATGAGGACATTTACTCGGTGTGAATTTTTTTTCCTATAACTTACACAAAATAACTTTTTTCTATATGAGGTTGTAGAAGATTGACATGTACATTTGGTTTATGTTATCTATTGTGTACATACAAATGTCAACCTCAAACGTCAAAAATGTTTTCAACCACAACTGCATGTACAAAAGAGTATATATATATATATATATATATATATATATATATATATGTTGTATATTTTCTCAAATGCACTGTTTTTACTCTGAAAGGTTTCTCTCACATGAATAACATGAATGTCTATATTGTTTCATCCTGTCACAAAGCGGATGTGATTAAAGTGATTTATTTTGGCTTCAGACATAATAAAAACATTGACGTGTCATGTATGCGTTATTGAGATTGACAGCTCAGCAGTGCACACATAAAGGGGGATAATATGGCACCCCAGAGGCAGGTACATTGTGGTTCAGATAAAGGAATTATTTGCATTAATTAAGTGTTGAACCTCCAAACGGCTTTTGATCATTTGGAGCCTGTAGGCCAGGGGTGCCCAACCAGTCGATCGCGATCGACCGGTCGATCGCGATCGACCGGTCGATCGCGGGGAGATTCCCAGTCGATCGCGAGATGTGTCTAAAAATAGAACAACAACATTCTGTTGTATCGTTAATGTCCTGTAACATAATCTTCCTGTGCAGAATAATGTACATGAACGCATCAAAGCTTTGTGATTGGCCGGCGTGACCCCATGTGTCGGGGCGTGGCTGGTGGGCAGTGGGCAGTATTTCGCTGACGTTGTCCGTGTCAACAGGAGTGCCAGTCCGCACACACACAAGACCGCAATTATGGCAGAAGCAAAAAAGCCCAAATTATATAATTTTCACTCCGAGTGGGAGGATGATTATTTTTGTATCTATTCCAATTCAAAGTCCATCCGTCTCATCTGCAATGCGATTGTGGCTTTATTGAAGAAGGGTAATTTAGGAGCGGCATTTCAAAACAGTGCACAAACGCTACGAGACGGAATTCCCTCCTAATTCTGCCCTACGCTCCCAAAAGGGGAGGGGCCTGAGAGGACAGCTAAATGCACAGCAGTCCATTTTCACCAGGCCCAACAACAAGAGCAAGGCTGCTACCAGAGCATCTTATCGGGTCAGTCACGTTCTTGCGAAACACATGAAGTCTTTCAAAGACGGCGAAGTTGTGAAAGAAGCATTCATGGAGGCTGCCCACGCGCTTTTGGGGACAGTAAAAATAACAGTAGCATTTCAACAGGTTTTTGATATAATAAAAACTCAAGTTAGATACCGTTATTAATCAGCTGTAAGTTTTAGTTTGTTTGAACTTATTCATTATAATTATTGTACAAAATGGTATAAGAATGCAAACATTAAGATCTGTTCTGTTTAAATTGATTATAGTCTATTATCAATTCAGGTTAAGAAACTAGTGTTGCTTGCATCCTATTTTAAAGGCATTTCTTTTTATACTCTACTAAAATGCATAAAAAAGGGTTTGATTCTATTAATTTTGTCTTTTTTATTGCACTGTTGCAGCAGATTCCTGTGTAGCTTCAGATCTGAGTTGTCTTATTAGTAAGCCTAATTTATACTTTTGTAGCAACACTATTTTTATATAATGGCAAAGAAAGGGTTCAGAGTATTTTCTTTTTTCCCTGTGTCATATGTGGCAGCACTGTTCAATGTTTCTTGAAAACATTACCCACTGTGGTATGTGACGTGTGAATAAACTCCAACTCTGTATCAACAACACTGTTGTGTAACTTCAGTTAAATACTTGTATGTGTGTAGATTAGAAAGAGGTAAGATAAAGGATCTGCAGTATTTTATGAAGTATTAATCGTACAAAGGTCAGTTTTATACAAGTAGAAGTGTGTATTTACCTGGTAGTAGGCTGTCAGTAATGGCTACGCCTCTCTATTTGGACTGGTAGATCTCGGCAGACTGGCAACTTTAAAAGTAGCTCTCGGTTCAAAAAAGGTTGGGCACCCCTGCTGTAGGCTATTGATGCTATATTCCTATTCAGCACAAGCTCTTGTCAAAGACAAAGGCTATTTCAGGCTAACCCAGGGGAGAGGATGCAGAGGGTCCAGATGTCACTTGGCATTTGGCAGTGGTGCAGGACAGGTTCTCCTCAGGTGATTGCACAATCACAACGCAGGAAAAACTAGGGGCGGAGGGAGTCTCCTGGATTCAGGCTCCTGCATCTATACTGCCAGGTTTGTGTGTTAATTAATGTTTGACTGTCACTAGGTTTTTCACGGTGTGCCCCAAGGCTAATTTGGTTTGTGTAGCATCACAATTTCTGCAGAGATGGTGTACAGTGATGAGCACAACAGGTCCAAAAATACTTTTACCTAAAGCATCAAGGTTTGGGAAGCTGTATGGTCAGTCCATATTGTTAGTCTCTTATGTAAGGAAAAAACTAAACAAAAAAGGAACAAAATTAAGACACCTCAGGAAGAGGTTACCCTTTTCCAGACATATTTACTGAACACTAAATACATATTTATAGGCTTAATACCAGCATAGCAATTCCAATAAATCTCTATATTATTGTACCTGATCCATTTACAACTTTTTGTAGAAGGCGTAGTGTGGATTCAAATCACAGGTTCATTCAAATTGCAGATTTCTGGTGTCTCCGAGACATTTTTGAGCAGCCAAATAAGGTCATTATTGAAAACAAAACCCTGATATAAAAATGACAGCAAACAAAGGTCTAACAAAACCAGAGAACATTAATGTTCTGTATTAACTTCCACAAAATTGAACTTGGTAAAAACTCTCCTATTACTGCACTTTTTCAATTATACTTCGTCAAATCGTTCAAGATAATGAGTGAGTAATCAAGCTGCAGTCCAGACCAATCAACGCACTGCAGCTTATGTATACTGTATTGCTTATTTATTTGATTACTTCCCAAATATTTCATTGTGCTTTGGCAGTTGATCATTGAGCTGACAAATGAGAATAAATTGTCACTCAAACTGTCTGTGGAGCATTTTTTTTTTCATCACTCATTTTCATTTTGTGACTGATTTTGGTTCCAGATCACACATATTTAATGTAATTAGCAGATGTTAAAATTAACATTTTACAAGTCATCTGGGCACAGAAACAAGTCAATACTCTCTTTTGAGTCTGATAATGCATGTTTACATAATCTCACCTTTTTGGATCAGGCTAATTGACTGCTTTTTTTATACTGGGATTTATGGCTCATCTTATGTCTGTTCGTGTGGTTGCTTTCCCTCTTTGCCTTGCTGAATCTTAATACATTCACAGCGTCAAGCAATCTAATTCCCCCTCAGGGATCAATATGTTTTCACTGTAGCACTGTCAGCAGCACTTGGTCAGCACGTGTCAGTTGACTGAATCAAACCTGCATCCCTGAACACAAAGGACGGTTTCAACCACAGCACCGCATAGGAGTTTGTTCATTTAAGATTTGGTAAACTATGAGAACAACACTAAAAAACACATGTTTTTAAATTTGATTGGAATCACTGCAGCCAAAACAAAACCTCTAGATTTTAATAAGCTTTGATCTGCAGGTGGCTGCACAGTTATCTTTTTTCCTGAAGGCAAATTGTTCCGTGCTATCCTGGAAATAAAACATTAAGGTTTAAGCACATATTTTATAGTTAAATATTCTACATAAAACCGTTAAATTGGCATGTATATCTTCTGTTATGATGCTACTGACATTGCACCATGAGGGAATTTAAATCTTAAAAACAATGTTATATGTTTACAATCACGAATGTCATTAGGATCCATGTTGATTGTTGCTAATTAAGCAGTTAATAAAGTCTAATCAAACTGTAATGATTTCTTTATGGTTGTCGTTTGAGAGATTTAGTGAAGATAAACACTACCCCTTACTGGTGGATGAACTGCATTACATAAATCAAATCAACATATTTTACACACCTGCACCTGTGGAGTCACACTCAGCATGAGGAACAAAGTTGGAACATTTTAAAATCTGCGAACATAGGGCAGTGTTGAAACCAGGGGAATGGGAGTTTTTTAAGAGCTGAGGAATGGATGGTTGAACCATCTGATGGAAAATGTAGGGTCAGGTGTTTCTGCTGCTTCACTCAAACCAACAACCATAGTGAGGATGACTCAGACTTAAATCTGTCACTTGTGAGTATTTTACAGTTTTCACAGTTAACAAGTTTGGGGCTCTCGCAAATTAGGACACATTCAGGTCACAGAGGTAACCACATGTCTCTTAATGATAATTAGTTATCCAGCAATGTTCTTTACCATAGTACAATGTTTTAAACTCTTCCTGTTGTTTTTACTTTTTCCCCCAGAATCCTTAAGGACTCTTCTTACCATCTGGATAACATTTTTTTTTGCGATCTTGATGCTAATAAAGATATTTAAGCCTTTTCCCAAGTTACGAGTTTATTTGTTTCCCATCCAGAAAGGCATTTATTACATTTTGTATTATTATAAAATACCATAAATACAGCTGTTTTATAAACAACCATCTGTTTCCTTTTGTGACTGCATTTAATGATCCTTTAGAGAATTTGTTCAAAATACTTCTTATCTCTCTCTGATTCTCTGCCTGCAGTTGCCCCACTCCGTCTGCATTAGATTAGTTGACAGGAAATAAACAACTCTTGGTTCTACAGGGCTCATTAAGACAGTAGAAACTCCTCAACTGTTCATTAAAAGAAGACATTTATAGACATATAGTACAATATTTTATTCGCAGGCATATTACAGCTTTTCACACCTCGGCAAACCTGCAATTAATTAGTAACACCAGGAGAGTGACAGGGTGATTTCATCTTCATAGCATCTGATTTGATCAATTAGTTACAGTTCTTAATGGTATTTACTTTGTTGAAATATGTGTGGCCTGCAGTATATTATGCACATCCTTTTGCTCTGATGCAGTGCATGTTAAAAAGGCATGC